CCCGCCGCACCCGCTCGCGTAGCTTGTAGCCTACCCACATCCCTCCACCAACCGGCTACTGATCCAAATTCGCGTTTTCATCCCCTTCCACTTTATCCAAGTGGTTCCTGAAGTTTTTTAATGACCCCGTTACTCTCTCATTGTCTGTTTCGTCGTTTCCTGATCACCGCAGTAACGGCGTGTGCGACGATATGCCTACCCTCCAGGCGTACTTCCCGATTATTTTTACAGGTGTCGATCCCCCAATCCCTTCGCCTAAACCGCCCCATGAACCTAAAGAGCATGCATTCCAGTACCATCAGCGCGTGAAAGATGTCAGCCAAGCTCAACCCCTTCTTGGTGGCTGCAGTCGAACAAGGAATGAGCCCTGGGGGCCTGTGAGCGCCTCGTCTCACTCACTCACCATTCTCCTTGTCCTTGACGAGAGGCAAGGGCTGCGCGTCCTGATAGGATAGCGGCGACCCCGGCGGAGACAGCGAGATGCCGTCCTGGGGCCCATCGGCGCGCTTCTGCGCCTCCGCGAGCCTCAGCTGCTGCTGGTGCAGCCGATTCTTGATGAGGAAGATCTTCGGCATGGTGGCGGCGAGTTTTCAACGATAATCCAGAAAAGAATATTCACCACGGCGACACCGCACTCACACACACGCACACACAGTTTGCGGCGCGGCAGCTCGCCTCTCTCTCTCTCTCGCACGAGTGCTAAATCCCGGGGTGCACTCGGGCGGAGATTCACTCACTCACTCGCACTACTGGGGCGGTCCACCCCCGGGACCCTGTCCGCGGGTCATGGCGAAGGGCAAAAATAATCCACTGGTCACGAGTATCCACTGCTGTCAACGGCGTGCCAACACCGGCCCGCGAAGCACCTCTCTCTCACACACACAGACAACACAGCACTGCCAACCTGCCAGAGCGACGCGAGCGGCCCGCACACGGACGCACAGCCTTCCGGCACGGAGGCGACTACACGACTGACGGGCCTCCCCTCCCGGCCCCGTGCCCGGACCCGGGCAGGCCCGCTTGCGGGCGAGGGCGGGCGAGGGGGGAGGAGCGGAGGGGCCGGCCGGCCGGCGGAGGCCCGAAGTGCAGAGGCCCCGGAGGCCTCGGCTCGGCCCGACGCTCGGTAGAACAACGGTTGTT